CCTTCGCCTCGAGCGCTGTGGAGGGGAAATAAAATATTTTGGGTGTGAGTTAGAATCGCAGCGAGTAACCAGTAAAATCAAAAATCAAATAAGCTTCACAATAGTGCATGTAAATGATGTCATGAATCAGTGATCAAATGTATGGAGTTTGCTCTTGTAAGCCAGTGAAATCATTGTACTTAAATATTCAATGCTAAAATAGATCAGTTAACAATCTAACAGTAATAGAGAGCCATTGCGCTCCAGGTAAACAGTGGTGGAGATGTTGGTTCTAAGCACAAGGTTTCCTAAGAACTCATTGGAGCAAAATCATGTCATGGCATACACACAAGCATGCATGATATGCAATCGAGTATGCAATACAAGAAAGAGTTCGAAAAGCAACCAATGCAATTAGTTTGAAGAGTAACTTTGCAAATGGTTTGGGAATCACTCACCAACACAGCTTAGGAACCATCCATTATATATCATTGCCTTGCTCAAGTCCAATCCCTATATCACAAATATCATGTCAAGCAAAAGGAAGTCTAAAATCAGCAAGTTCCTATCACCTTTTAGCATTTTAATCACATGTAAAGCTTCACTCATTTGATTGAAACAAATCTTATGGCGTTACGAAGCTAAGACATATACGAACATTTCTTATGAAGACCTCCAAAACCAGATCATATATTTTCAGGGTCAAAAACCGAAATCTTAGAAAAATGGAAACTATCATGGAACAGGGCTTATGGGCAGTCAAGGGTATTTCGATCATTTTATAGGTTATAGTAATCCAATCGATCTGAAATTTTGTAGGTAACTAGCTAATTCATGTATCTATAAGTTTCATGTTTTGAGCAAGGGCCGATTCAGTCTCTCTCAAGGTCAAACATACAGTGTAAAAGAGGATAGATTACTACTTATCACAGGAGGGCAGAAATAATACCATAAAAACTAAAATTACACTTCTCAACTAATCTTTGTATATAACCATCACTAATTACAATTAAGGCTAGTAATTCCATCATAACACTAGAATAGTTTCTACCAATCAGATACATGGCAAATGAAAGATGAAATCACTTAGATAAAGTCTGGAAATCTCACTAACATGGAACTTCATCATCCCAACTTCCAAATCAAATGAATCTCTATAAAATTAATCAAGATCAACTTATCACATACTTAATCACAAGATTAAAGAACAAAAGAAGCTTCTAATGATTATGCCTTCCAACACCTTGAAAACAAGCAAAGCAAAGACCTTCATTTCTACCAAAAGGCAACTCAACTCAAAGCGATCAAATGCTCTTAAAGATTGGACAGCACTTCCCCTTAATTTTTTTTTATTTCCACCCTACAATAAAAACACCAAATTGCATCTTACCAACCACAATTACATATACGGTTCATAAGCAATAAAACACATCCCATTAGGCCCACAATACCCTTCCACTTGAGCCAATTAACAGCTCCAATTCTAATCACAAGAAAGCCCCAATTCAAAACCCTGAACTGAAATTTACCCTTCAAATGGAAATTTTCCGCAAACCATCACAACTAATATACACAAGCCTCATTTTATACCATATCAATCCATTATTCCAAGGCTAACCCATGATTATCATATAAAATCAGAAAAATCCCCCATAAATCAGAAATTGGTCCAACTCTATTTAAAATCATGAAATCATCCACAAAATAGCATCTTTAACCTCTACAAGCCACTGCTTTCCGATTATAAGGAACAAGGAGACAATTTCTTGGCCACTTACCTTACAACCACAAGAAACAAGGTAGCTTAGTGCTTGACCCTCCAAACAACTCCACCAATAGCTATCAATCACCTTAGATATGAAGTTAATCGGAGCAGACTTCAGAAATTTAAAGAAACCTCTCAAGATTGATGAAGGAAATCAAAGGAAGAGAAAAGAGTTTTCTCTCTTGTTTTGCTCCCCAAGAGGTTCGGTCAACTGAAGGAGGAAGAAAAGTGGGTTTTGAACCCCCAAATATAGCCAAAAGTGAAGACATAATCGCTAAGAAAAGTTGGCCACAATAGAATCCGGCTAGAATCTGGCCGGATATCCGGCCGGATAGTCGGCCGGATTCAAGGCAGAAGAAAACCAATTTTTTTTTCAAATGGCCAACTCAATCCGGCCAGTTCTTGGCCGGATTTGCTACCACTGTTCACCAACATTTTTTTTTCTTCGTTCGGGCGTCTCATTTAACTAGAAAGCCTAGATATCCTCGTACCCTATTATTTAATAATTTTCTAACCCTAATTCCAGAAATAAGGGCAGATGAGGCTAAAATACCCCTTTACATCTAGTTTTAGGATTGCCTCACCGGGTATACAAAACTCGATAATTTTTGTTTGGCAATCTATCCGAGAATGATAACGAGCTAACCAATCCATTCCTATTATGACATCATACCCCTTAAAGGCCAGACTTATAAGGTTGACTACCAATTTTCGCTCACCAACCCAAACATCACAGTTTCTATACATCTCGTTAGCTAGTAAAGATTAGTTACCCGTAGGTGTTCTCACTTTTAAATCATGTGGTAGCCTCTCGGTTTTCACATCAATTTCACACATAAAAATAGGATTGACAAAAGAATGTGTTGCACAAGAGTCGATCAAAATCTTGGCCAAATGATGAAAAATAGGGATTGTACCTTCCACTACCCCGACGGCTCAGGTACTGACCATTTCTCTAAGGCGTACACTCTAACTGGCACTCTTGTTCTAGTCCCTCCTACGGTGGTCGGTTTAGAGTTTGACCTATCAGCTTGCTGGGTATCACTGGCAAGTGAACAGGTGGCGATTTGGTACTCAGTGCTTCCACATCGTAAACACTTTCGTGCCTTCTGTCAACAATTATTCTCAGTATGATTGAATTTTTTGCAGTACCCATAAGACAATTGAGGGGCTGATGTCTGACCTCCTTGTGAGGCACCTGTCGCCTGTCCCCTTCCACCTGGGGCTCCTCTCGGTGTAACTCCTCGAGATGTCCCCAAAATTCTTCCACCGCCAGTTTCTCGACTCACTTTAGAGGGTGGCATATGTGATGACCCCACCTCCTCCTAGGGCATACCCCAGGGTTTAGTGGACCGCCTATTCAGCTCTCGCAAGGACTCGCTCACTTACATCAAATAAAATAGTTCACAACCTCAAGTGCAAATGGAATAATAGTTCCTAAGTTTGGAACGTACATGTGTATTCATTTCTATTCCAAACATTCATACAATCCTCAATACATCAAAAGGTTTATGTTCTAGATACATTCAACCCTAATCGAGCAACTAGTGCGAGTACAATCATAAAATTTCAAAAACTAGACTATGCTAACTTGTACCAGTCTCACACCCTTGCTCATACTCCTTGTAAGGAAAATAAAAACTAATTGTGTGAGGACTCGCAAAATTTACTTATTTAATCTCCTATTTCTAACATATTTAATTATTTATTTAGCCTTTTACTCCGACTATTATTTTCTAAACTCTTGAGACCTAATTACATGGAAATGTAGTTTCATTATATTTTTAAAGTGACTTGTTTCAAAAATTAATTTCCGGAAGCTCGTTTAGTGAAAATAGTGAACACGACTTTGGAAATCTTAAGCGATTGAGAGTACAATAAGTTTGGAATATTGGAGACATGTACAATAGACCTAAATTAGGTATTTTAATGTTTAAATACTCAAATGATAGTTATTAGTACTGTCGTTATAAGAATTTCTCGGAAGTTTCGCGTTATTGCGCTTAAATTGGAGATACGCGTTTTCACACGCACAATTTAAATTTAGGAACTTTAGACCCTTATTTTGGGACAATTGAGAGTGAATAATATTTATATAAATATAAGTGCATTAGAGGTTTAGTGCACTAGTGAAACAAATGCGAGAGGAATTGATCACGAAACGCGCGCGAGTGCGCGTGGTAGTAGAGTTGACTTTTGCACAAATGGGCCACACACTTGAAGCTTCTCTTGGAAGCTAAAATCTGATCACTCTCTTCTATTCCTCTCACCATTTCAGCGGCCATCAAGATAGAAAAGGACCAAGTTTACTTCATCAAATCTTCATCAAACCTCTTCCAATTCACTCCAAATTCGAACTACACTTAACTAAACATTTAGAGATCCATTGAGCTAAGAAAAGGAGCTGCTATTCACGGTTTTTCTTGTGCTAAGGAAGGCCAAAAATTCTGACTTTGTTCACCACACAAGTAGGTAACGATCAACTACCGAAATCTTGTTTTATGGAGGTTCAATTGCGCGTATAAACTCTTGCATGCATGTGGGTAGTCTTGTTTATGGTGTAAAATGAAATGTGTGGCCTCTATGAACTCCCACCTTTGTCTTGGGGACTGATCTCATGCTTGATAATGGATTTAATATTGGTTTAGTGCACAAAAATGGTAGATTAATGGTGTATAACTAATAGAAACTTCAAGAAGTGCATGGAGTAAAAAATTCCGATTTTGCCCCTGCTTTGATCGTACCCTTTTCTGCAGAATTTTGAGGGTTTAATGGCTTTTATATGATGTTTATATGTTGTATAGATGGTGTATAAAATTTCATTGAAAAATATTGAGATTTGGTTGGTCAAATGAATTATTTTCGTGAAGCTAGTGAACCTGAGAACTGTTCCCGTAATGCGCAGGCAGCTTGCTTGTTTCGTTTCATAACTCTGTACTCCGATGTGAAAATTGAGTGCCGTCAGTGGGATTTGAAACTAGACATTCCCAGATTTCCATTGGTACCAAATGCATGTTCTGGTTCCACTTGAGTGAGCCACACCATTCGTTTGAAAATCACTGCCCTGTTTCGTTGCTCTCCAGGAGACAGGACAGGACTTGTATCTTGATGCTAAAAAATGAGCTGTTTGTGAATGGAATTTGAAAATGGTTTCTTCTAAAAAATTCATCTTTATGAGAGTGCTTTCTAACACCATCAACCACGCCCAATTCCAAGTTGAATTGAGTGAGTTGTGGCCAAAGTTTGAAACTGCTACAGTGATAGATCCCTCCAAAGAATTTCAGCACCTCAAAAGAATAAGGGGTCCCGAACAAGGATGCAGTCAGACCAAGAGGAGATTGATGTATTAAGATAGATACAAAAGTAGCCCTGATTAAACTTTGAGTTGTCACATCAGAATCAACTGCAAAGACAACTTTTGTTGTATTTGGTCCAGCAGAAGGTTCTAATTTTAGTACTTCCACCTATCATAAGTAAACAATAAGAATGAATAAGAACAGATTCAAACAAATGGTAAGGAAGGAAAAACATATCAAGCGAAATAAGACAGCAGTAAGAAGAAGAGTAGCAGAGCATACTTTAGTGGTGAGAAAGCTAATTTCCTCAAAAATATCATCCTCAAGTTGCAAGACATAGTCTTCCAAAAATGAAGCTGGTTTATCGACCATAAAGCTTGCTACTATTGCATGACCTGGTAAACATGCAGCATGAGATGAAATACATATATAACACAGTACACAGGAAAGCATATTCCTAAGATGAAAAATCATGATTTATATGCATACAGCATCAAGAATACAAAACTTAATGAGCGATACAGAAGACAACAAATTTTAACAGCTCAAATCAAAACTAGACCCGAAGTATGCCAAACCAGCTATTGCCAGTTCATTCTCCACTTTCATGTATCTTTTTCGTTGCTTTCTTCAATTTTTGTTCAATCATACTAGCGCATGACAAAGATGCAAACTTGTGGATACTGCTAGTCTGGCAGCCAACACAGTGACTCTTGCTATATAGATGAGATAAGAACATATAAACCAAAGGTAACCATAAATGTCAAACCCAAAATTTTGCCTCCTCATTTTCAAGCTATTGCTTCCTTCCGTTTCTTGAAAGCATACCTTATGCCCCTGGTTGTCATTCTGATCCATGTAGTTTGACCAACCTCACTAGCCTTTACAGGGTCATAAAGTTAACAAAAACTCCTGTTCTTCCTTCTTAACTTGATTTCCTTGTGCATTTAAGCAATATAATTGCAGAATTCGTCTTCACTCCAACCAAATGCGACAGAATGCAACATTTTACCCAATCATTCTATTTCACTAGCACACAATGCACGCTAAAAGTCTTGAGCAATTGACATTCTGATTCAATTTGACCATTCAGAATACTTGTCCATGGCATGTCCTCATATAGACATCAATAAGGCGCACAAAAAGGGCAGTTTAATACAGCAGAACAATGCCATTAACGGCAGCTACAATATGATAAAACGGTCCCCCAAATCTGCCGAATCTCACATATCAAATTTTCATCAGACTTATTTAAGATGCATATAATCAAAACAAGACATTTAACAAGTTAATCCAAATGGCAGAAATCAGATACTTCCCTCAACTTTAAACACTAAAGTTCCTAAAATTTACAGCAATAACTGCATGTTTCTCTGAAAGCCCATTTGAAACCACATCCAAACATCGTCGTCCGACAATAGTATCACTAAATCTCAATTTTCACTGGGTCCCAAATTAACCAGCCCTTTCCTGAGAGTATACCCAAAATAAGTAGAAAGAAAAACGAAGCAGATTAAAAGAGAGAACTGACATTTATCAAGTTAGAAATTCCCTTAGCAATTTGCAGAATAAAAGAAGGAAAAAAAATTGTCTGAAATTTAGCATAAACTTAATTTCTAAAAAGAGAAGAAATCATTTTCACAGCGATACAAGCCCCAATCCAAAATGCACCTTATACAAAGTGCAAACAAATTTCTAGCATTAGATAATGGAGAACTCAAATCCCACCCCCTTCCCCAGTCCGCCCACAAAAAAACCCCAAAGGAGGAAGAATAGCCAAAAATCCAAAAGCAGATCTACTTGCAATCCACAATGTTGAGAAGCTCAACTTAAAAAACCAAGAAAAGGGTGTTCAAAAATCAAGAAAAGGCAGAATTTTGTCACCTCCAAACTCAGAATCCAGATCCAGATCCTTCTGATCTCCATAATGGAAAAATGGCAACAAAAAGAAAGCAGAGAGCAAGACTCCTAATCCAAGCACCAAAGCAAACACACATCTAAAACTCACAACCCTCTTCAACCTGCTGCTCCTGTTCCAGCAGCAGAAGCAGCACGCTCTCCTATCACTATTTCCTACATTATTCTGCTCATCAATTCTTCTTTGAGCTTCATCCACAATTGAGCCTGGTAAAGGCTGCTCATCCTCTGCCTTCCCCATTGGGAACAGTAATAGCAATGTGGTTTCCTATTTTTTCTCTTTTTTTCTTAGTCTCCATTGCTGTTGTGGTTTGGTAAGAGCTCAGAACCCTCCATTATTCTCTCCTCTCTTCCTTTCTTTCACCTTCTTGTTCTTGGTCTCTTCTCTTCTCTTCTGTTTCAAGAGAGAAAAAGGGTCTTCTTCTTTTTTTTTCCTATTTTCCTTTTTTTCTGGTGATGATGGAGAAATAATTTAAGTATTCTTTAGGGTTGGGTTGGGTTGGGTTGAGCGGATGATGGGATGGAATGGAAGGGGAGGAGTAACTTCTGCTGTCTGCAAAATCAACTACTTCTAGTGGATTTCTTTCTTTCTTTCTTTCTTTCTTTTTTGCTTGCAAAAGGGAAAGTGTTTTTGTTGTTTTGTGATTTCAAATTGGAATGAAGGTTTTTTAAGTGGTGAATGCTGATTAGTTTAAAGATTTGCTTTTGGATTTTACATTAAATTCGTAGAGATAAGGCAGCTCTTACTAGTCTCCACTCTAGTCAACAAGTTATTGTTCACATAGCCAAAGAACACTAGTGGTGCTTGTACTAGTAACTAGTCACATGAATGCAAGATAAATTATAATGAGGTTGCATAAATGTATTATTATGAGTAAAATACTAAAAAAACTAGTTGTGATTTATCAAATATATAATTTAACTCTCTTTGATTTAAAAATCTATACTATAACTTTAGGTGATTTCAACTAAATTAAAAATTTAACGGAAAGCATACAATCTAATGGTTGTACATGAAATGTCAATATTGCCCTTATATAAATTAACTCTATGTGATTTATCGAATGTTCAATTTAACTTCCTCTAGTTTGAAAAACTGCGCTATAACTTTCTGTGATTTCGATTAAATTGAAAATTGAACGGAAAACACTTTACGTATAGTAAGGGCAATATTGATATTTCATGTACAACCATTAGATTAAATGCTTTCCATCCAATTTTTAGTTTAGTCGAAACCACATGGAATTATAGTGTAGGTTTCCAAACCAAAGATAGTTAAATTGAATATTTTGCAAACCACTGAGAGTTTTTTTTGTATTTTACCCTATTATTAATGTTTTACAAAATTAATGAAAGTAACTTGTTCCAAAAATTTCCCTTTTTTTTTTCAAATTCATGAATGCTAAAAATGTTGTTTGGAAAAAGGCCATTAATAGTTTTTTATGTTGGATAAAGTTTGTGTATACACAAGTAGAGCTAAATGTATAATAACTAATGGATTAACTTTTTATGCAATAATAGTACAATAGTTATTTTACACTAGCAGTTTTGAATGTATGTCACATGTGCTTGATTTGAATTTCAAATTTGAATTCATTTACGTGGTATAATCTAAAACTACTAGTATAAAAAAAATTTATATGCTGACAATGTATAAAAGAATTATACATAACTAACTATTATTTGAATTTGAATTTTATGTTTTACACATGCGACATATATTTAATCTTGTTGTGTATATGTTGTCAGTATAAACAAAATTTATCCTTTTATGTGATTGAAGTATATTGGTTTATGAGTAGACCTTTTTGTGAGAATAATAGAAGGAATAGATAGAAAATAATTTCATTCAATAAATTTGCACTAATGGCATAAAATACATCAAACAAACATGATATAGATACATGTAGATTTGAATAAATACAACAAATCTAATAAATCAATATAAATAAAAATCACATTGATACTCATATATTTTTCATCTGAATGAATCATTGTAACCAATACGCGTGTGCATTTTTTTTTTTTTGGTCAAACGATGTTTGCATATCTTTTGACAGTTAGACTTGATTTAAACTGGTTCAAGCATGAAGAGAATTTTATATTTGACAATAATGGAGAAATTGCATATCTGAAAAATTAGATTCTAAATTTACAAAGTCTCAATTTTCAAATTTCACAAAATAATTGAAAACTAAAAAAAAACTCTCATAAAAAAGGTTCACGAGACTCTCACTAGAACAATAAGAAACTCTCACTAAGAGATCTTAGGAGAGAAAAATCTCTCATTAGAAAACCCTAAGAGAAAATTTATTCGAATAAGAGAAATTAAAAATTAGAGAGAGTGTCCTTCCCATGAGAAAAGACCAATGAGAGAGATGAAGGAGATTTTGACTCGAAAAATTCTAGAGAGAAGGGAAAGAAAACAATTCTAGAGAGAAGAAGGAGAAGAACGGAATAGATAACTGCACATAAATGTAAATAGTCTAAATTTGTTTTATCCCAAATCACAATTTTAAATGCAGTAACATAGAAAAAAAGATTATTAACCAAAAAGCTATTTTTTTTGGGTGGTTTTGGGGTAATTGCATTGGAGGGTACAAAGGAAACACGTGATTAAGAAGCCAACTCGCACAATAACAGGGTTGTTATTGGGTGGGTAAGTCCTCTGACTCTCATATCAAACGTTTTAATACTAAAACTAGTACTATATTAATCTCTGAGGGTCAACTCTCTCAAAGTGGAAAATGATGAGTATCCGAAATATGTATTACCCGAAATATGCAAACGTTTTAATACTAAAATTAGTATTAATCTTTGAGAGTCAACTCTCTCAAATCTCAACGTGGAAAATGATGATTATCCAAAATGGAAAAGGAAATTAATGAAGGTTAAAAGAAAAGAGAACATATGATAATTGAAATTTTAAGAAATTTGTCAGTTCTCTTTCTTTTGTGTAAAATCAACTACTTCTTACAAAAGTAATTAGATTTCATGCCCATCTTACGCGCAATATCACAATGTACGAATTAAAAACTATCTCGTTTAGATTGTTATTTCTGGAGTTGTTATACAAAAATATACTGTAATAATTTGATTTGATATATATTAGATAAAAAGATGATTGAGAAATATAATCACAGCAATCATAAAAAATTTTCTTTGATAAACTAAAATCCAAACAAGACTAATTGCTAAAGGATTTCCATAAAAATGTTGGTCGCAAAATATATTATACTGGACATAGTGTTTGTGTTATTTGTTACATATCATATTGAATCTCTTAATGTTATAGTACATCTCAAACACCGGAGCACATTTATATACAACTTTTACTCCGACGAAAGATGTGTAAATAAAATTCTATAGTTTTTGTAGTCTTCATCATATGTAGTGTACTTATGACAAAGATTCATACGTATTTTGTTCATCATTTAGAAAAAGAAATAACATTATAAATCTTTTAGATTCTTATAGGTGTCTAACGCTTACACAAACAATGTATAGACCAAAGGCTCCCTATTAGATTAATTGCGTTTTCATGTATTTAAACACTTCACCAATAAAATGTAATTTTTTAAAAAATTAACTTTTAGAATCGACATTCATTTAATAAACCCTGTCTTTTGCTCTTTAATTCAATCACCTGTTTCATATTCCTTCATTAGAAATTGGAGGTTGTAGTTCAAATCCTCTTTCCTCGTCTTCAATTCTTAAAACTCACTCTTTTCTTGCTTTAAAAAAAAAGAAGAAGAAGAAGACGAAGACGAAAAAGAAAAGAAAATCATCAGTATATGAATGGGAACTGTAAAAGACATAATTTGTATGATTTATATCTTTATCCCTTATCATTTCACACCAAAATAGGTTTCATTAATTAATTAGATTAATGGATTAATCAAATCCAAGATCTAAGTTATGAGTGACTAATGGAGGATAATGGGATTAACACTTTTTAGCATTTTTTTAACTCTTCTGAAATGATTCCAATATTAAACAGTAGCTTTTTCTAATGGGTGCCATTGTACTCGGGATTACACACTAAAATTTGACCTATTATTACATTTCCTTACATTTAAACACTTTCTTTAATCAGTTTAACTTTCCGAAAATCTAATAACTCAAGTACATCTTTCGACACACGTCAAATAGACCTTAAACAATATATGTACAATTGTTTATTTTAATACTCATTTATGACTTCACATCTGCTAATGCAACTACCCCAGACTTTTAAATAGGGTTTTAAAATAGTTTAAATTGATTTAAAAAGACTGAAAAAGTTGAAGAATTGAGATATCTTGAAACAAAGGAATTAAAATTGGGCTTTCAATTATTATTTGTCAAAAAAAAATTGCGGCCATAAAGTCCAAGAAAAATGGAAATGGATGGATGAATTTGGTCTAAGAACAAAATCAATCAAAAATTATAAAATAGTGTAGATTTTTTTATTTTAATGTAAGTGGGAGGTCTCGAATTTCGAATCTCTCACTTAAACTTCCTTTTTCATACTATCCAAACCATTACTCCCTCCCCCTCCCGGAACAAATTGTGTAGAGTGACATCACTAAGTATAAATACAGATAAAATCTGTGGTGTTTCTACTAAAACAAAATGAAGTGACTAAAGTTCAATTCATGCAGACTTTAGAAATATTTTCAAAACTAAAAGAGATACTAATAATTTAGAAAAAAAACAGATTCCAGCTAAAAGATGTCATATTCATAGTTCTATGTGGCGTAATAAATTTTTTTTCCTTTTCTTTTCTTTTACTTTCTTTTATGTGCATCACATGAGACTGGGATCTGGATAACATTTGTCTGCCAAACTTTTGACCTATTATCATTTCTCTTCCTCATTGAGTTCAACTCGTAATCTTTTAAAAGGAAAAGTGGCAAAAGAACAAAAAGCAACAAAATGCCCCTTTTTTATGTGGGAATTTGGCATAAGAAGGGCAGAAGAGGCCTTTCAACCGTAACAAGCACCACATTCATACCGACAAATTAATCTTGCAATTAGTACATATCCTGTGACATAGATTTCTTTGTCTCTCTCTTTCTCTGTATCAAATTTCCAACAAATTTAAGAAGATTTTCATAAATTGAGACGGTCTTCCTAAACTAACTATTAGTTACATGCAATAAATCAAAGAAACGGTCCTCTTAAAGAATCAAAATTTAATTTTTTTTCACCGCCCTACCTACTCTATTCCGTACTAATAATGCTGCCAAATGGTCACTCAATGTGTCTCCACAACAAAATAGAAGATGCAATGGTAAAAATTAAAGGGTTTCTCAATTTTGGGCAAATTTGACTTCCGCGTTGTTTATCCTAAAAAAATTGATTATTTATGTCAGAATATATGCAATTTAGATATTTGGTGAAATTAGATTGCAATTTTCTTGAGTTTTTATAGAAAATATACTATAGTGATTTGATATATATAAAATAAAAAGGTGATTGAAAAATATGTTCACGGAAAACGTAAAAATTTTTTTGATAGAAAATCCCTTTCCAAATAAGGCTCAGAGTTTTACATTAGACCATTTTTTCTTTTGGTTATACTTTGCTCT